ATATATATATATATGTATACGCAATTTCAGGGATTGCCATTCTTTAATGAGCCATATTTTATCTTCACACTACCCAATAGTGCTTTTTATGCTAACTGAAATGTTAACTTTTTAACGCCTCCTTAAGTGATGATGGCTCAAAACAAGCAATCATTTAATGTTTATTTTCGAAATAACCAAAACAATCTCAACTTTATTTTTTTCGTCATGCATTTCTATTGTTGAACATGAACATTTGTATACCGCATTTTGTTTCAATAATAAAAAATAAAGCACTAATGCAGCTTATTTAAAAAGACTAACTGTTGCAATTTTTATAATTGTATGTTTTTCTTAAATAAGTAAATGTAATTTAAGTTTATACTAACTTTTTTAAGGTCACTCCTAACAACTTTATGAATATAATTATTTTTCTTTTTTGAAACTATGCAAATATCACAGACGTTCAGAATGCGTTTACTAAATAAGGTGTTTGTTGTCTGCTTTTCATTTACGAAAATTCAGATTTAATTTCACATCACTAATTGATGTGCACTAAGTATTTCAAAAAAAAAAAATCTTAAAAAAAAATAGCAATAAATGAAATTCGTTAATGGAACCATATTAGTAATACCGAAGTAACTCTTACAAAAGAATAATCAAATATTAGCATATATGAATTTGTTTTTAAAAGCCAGAGCAGATTGTATTTTTCTTACAAAACTATAGTACAAATGAGCTCAACATTGAATTATATGCAAATTTTTGTCAGTGACAATTGACTTTGTACATTTTCTACAAAGCAATATCATTAACTGTGATTATAACGGTCATCTCTTATTTGTTATGAGTAAATTATCAAAATTTGAGAAGTATTCCATGTTATCCCATACTAGTATTAAATGAAAAATTTTCAACTATTTCAACAAATACGACCGAGTGCTATAATTATACTGTTTAGGAATTTTTTTTAATTAGAATGATAGCAAAACTTGAACGCATTTATTGCACATGAAAGATATGTAAAATTTCTTAAGTTCTATTTTCGTTATTAATGAATGATCATTTTGATAAGAATAGTAAGTCTAAAGGCTTGCAGTTCTTTGCATAAAATTGCAGTTTTTGAGTTGATGTGTGCAAACTTTAGATATGGTTCAAAAACATTTTGATGATTTTGCTGTGCTTGCTGTTAGTTACTACTGAAATAAACTCGTGATTAGATATGAAATATTTTCTGCCTACCAATAAAAATGAAAAATGTCAACTTTGAAAACTAACTCATTCTAAGAACGCGTGATTAGATTTGTGACATTCCGTATATATTTCTGACTAGAAGACTAGAATAATTTGTCTATTAGATGATGTGAAAGTGAATGAAATTCTAATTGATAAATCTCTTCAAAAGTGTGCTAAAAAGGGTTTCCTATCAACATAATTTTCTTCAAGTGTATTCTTATGCTATTATGAATGTTTTTTTATTAAGTGTGCTTATTGCTTGCTATTTAATTGTTTGTGAATGTTTCGTGCCTAAAGTTTGGCATTCTTTTTCAAAACATATATCTCATTAAACTATTGGATGGATATTATTCCTCCGCAAAGCAATTTTCACTATGCAAACAAGTGTGTGAATAAAGTGAAATCGAAAATTTCAAAGCTTTCTGTTCATAGAAATCACTTTTGATCATGATTTATTAAAATATTTATTTACATTATGAACTGCACAATCTTAGCTTTTACGAGTATTTATTTGTTGATTATGCATTGAAATATATCATAAGTGTTGCATTTGAGAGTTAATTGCTCTCTGAAGTACATAAAGTTATTAGTGCATGAATAATATACTTCATTCTCTGAAGTATTAGCTTAAAACTGTTGAAAATTTCCTATAAATACCTCTACTATATTGCAATAGAAGTAATGAAAGCTTACTGGAAATTAAACTTTAATCTTAATTTCAATATAACAATCAATATAATCAAGTTCCAAACTGTTAAACAAATACGGAAATTTAACTTTTGTATTTGAAAGCGGAAAATATGTGCAATGATAATCGGACAATCTGTTACAGTATTGCATAAATCACCGTGAAAGTATGTCTGTCTCACATTTCGTTCAACCATCAAATGAGTGCTGCAGCCGTTAGTGTAATTTATCATTTTTGTGACGTTTTCTCGTATAAATTTCTTCACGATGCGATCCCATTTCACAAGCAAACAAACTACCACAAAAGCAAATTGAAATTTGAAATTTTTTTTTGTGGTTTAAAACCTTGAAAATAGTGTTGTTTGATGATTGTATAATACCGAAACTTTAAACTATTGTGAAATAGATGAGAATGGTCTTACAGGGACGATATTATCAAAGTATTAATGTTAATAATAATAATAATGATGCTAATAGTAAATACGAAGATAATTTTGTTTTCCGATAGTACAAGTTTATTTTTGCATTCTTCAATAACTATTTTATTTTCAGAAAAAACGCAAATTTCTGACAGATGATTGATAATTATTTTCAGCCTCATAATTTTTAAGAACTAAATGCATATAACAAATTAGAAGTAGTCTGTCGTCTAATGCAATCAAGGAAGTAGTAAAATTAAAAAAATTAAGCTATATAAAGGATGTCATCACGTATACAACATGAGATTTCTTGCGATAATCCAGAAACTATAGCGATTTCGCAGTTTTATTCGGCTTGCTGCAATTATCAAGTATCAACAACATCATTAACACTATCACCATCAGATTCAGCAACACAACGAAGACAAAAATCACTCGAACCACATGTTTGTTTCAAACACTGTAAAATATTATCAAACACATGGAATTCAACTGTTCATGGCTTATCATTATCTGCAACGCCACATCATCATCAATTCCCTGAACTGCGTCTCATTATTCGTGCTAGTCATAACAAATCTGTAACAAAAACTAACAATATCAGCTCATTTCTGGATATCATACAGGTTTTCTTTTCATATACTTCGTACTCATTCGTATCAAAGATATCAGCATAGCATTTCAGTCTCGTAAACTCTTATATTACGATTTTACAAAAATTATATGCCATGAAGATGCATACGAGAATGTGTAAGAAAGCATTCGTTTTATTTTGATCTTTTTTTACAGTCACGAAAGTCTTCATTTCAAAAATGAAAGAGAAAAGTGGGATTGTCTTTATGCTTGTGTACGGTAATTCCGATACCTCTGGTAGAGTCAGTCAATCTGTCAGATTTGTCATGATTTATTGTAAGATATAGAGACTGAGATATTAATCAATGCTGAAAGCACAGCAAGGCATTTATGACATCAAAGACAGAATGCTTCTGAAAATTTGCTGCATACGACAATGATGCTTCATTGAAAATTGAATGATAAAAAAAAAGTATTGAGGGAGAGCCGAAATTTTCAAGAAAATGAGTGTATATATTTTTTTTTCCCGATACCTCTGGTAGAGTCAATCTGTCAGATTTGTCATGATTTATACAAATGTAGGATGGTTGTTGAGCATAGTTAGTTTGTATGTGTGGTTTATGTACGTATGTAATGGAAATGCGAAAGTCATACATGAAAGCTATCTTAAATTAGCATATGTAAAAACGGCTCTTATTTTTATTGCTGCTGTTGTTGCTTCGGTTATATGCAGTTATTGACCTTGTACAGGCAAGCAAAACGCAAGTAATGAAAACACATCAAATCTTCATATAAAAATTGCATTTATTTTATCAAAAGATCATCATTATAGTTTTGATAGTTAAATTTGATTACATCTGCATGTTTCAGATTTTTATATATTCTAAATGTGCTGGAAATTTAAGAGTTTATCGAATGGTAAGCTATCAGAGAATAGATCCTCCAAACGAGTAACATTCATTGAACCAACTGCATCCGATAAGATTATTCAAATGGGATATCGCAGCAAGCACTGTCTAATTAATCTATTCAAATATCGTGTAAGTTTCCGAATTTTTAGTTCATGTTTCCAAATGTACTTTTTTGCGTGGGAAAAGTGTGCCTGGAGTAAAATTCTATGACATGAATTTCCTTATATATATAAACTTTTCATTCTTAAAGACGGAAAAATTGATAATCATGTCGGGTTTTCGCAGTACAATATGCAACTTGTTTTTTCATAAACTTTAATGGTGGAATATACCATTGCAGCTTAAAATGTGTTTGCTTCGGTCATCTTATTACAAATTAGCGATTGCTTTAAACTTTTTGAATTCTCATATTGTATATCATATATATTGTTATTTATTTTGATCTGTAACATAAACTTGACGTATATCTTTTTCTTTGACAGCAAATTAAGTTCATATAGATATTCTAAGTTACTCAAAACAATGATCCAGATTTTGGTTCTTTGTTACATAGTATAGAAGCAAAGTTTGGTTCTTTGTTTCAAGTAATTTATTAATTCTTCATATGAAAAAACTTTTTAGACCTATATTTACCAAATTTTTTTTATTTAATTACTTGTCAGTGCAAGTTGTGTATTAATTATTTTATGGGAATAATGTCATTGACATATATAATCATATTACAGTGATGAGAGGAATCTCTTAAATTTTTAAAGTAATAGGACTTTTTGCATTAATGAATAAAATCATACCCTAAATCATAATTTACTAGTTAACAGTGTAATTCAAAATGAAATAGAGAAGGAATATGATGCAAATCTTGACATTTTCTAGATATCTTTGGAAGGTTGGTATCTGTTAACTATATTATAAATACCAGTAATAATTACTGGTAAGGCGAACTTTTTAACACAACATTAATTAACAGGAAACATTATCCATAAAACAAAATTTCCAAAAAGAAAATAAGTACTGAGTAAGATTGACATTTGATTTACCTGGCTAGTAATGAAAACTTGCTCAAATCTGGTCTTACTTAGCTTTAGATAAGCTATACCTTGACCTGATTTAATTTTATCAAAGGTATTGAGTATATTGTTTATAATCACAGTGAACTTCTTAAGAAAATTTTGTATCTTTCAAGTCAGTAAATGACTTCAAATCTCTTTATAATTGCACGGTTCATTTTCAGAATCCAATTCAATCGCTGAAATCATTTTTTGGTTTGAAATCTATGAAAAGTAATTAAGAAAACTGCATAAAGTGAAAGAGTATAATGACAAACAGTTCTTTTCAATTTTCTTTTCATTAACTAAAATGAATTATGTAAGATGCTAACTTGTTGATATAATAAATTACTAAGTATGCTTTGTTTCGGTATTTGCATTTCCAATCTCAATTCTCGTGTAGTTTTATTCAAGATCATTAATTTATACATTCATTACTGCATTGTAAATTACATTTGGTTTTTACATGTACTTGAGTGTTTTTATCCATTAAATTACCAAGTATTAATTGCTCACTAATTTATCTGCTTGTCATTGTCATATTAAGTTGGTTTTTTTTGCAAAGGAAAAAATTTTATTTTTGTGTTAACCGTTCTTGGCGATGTAATCATACAGTTCAGTATAAAACAAAGAAATGATTTTGTCATTTAACAAAAATTATTTGTGAAATTGCTAGGAGGAAAAGTAGCAGTGGTATATTGTGGAAGACATAGAGTTTGTAATAGCAAAGGTATTGCCATTAATAAAATCGAAAATACAAACATAACAGTGATGATATTAACATGTAGGGTTATAAATGTGATATTAATATTAATGATCATTTAAAATATATATATGCATATCAAGGCAGTGATGAAATGATGTGGACGCTGATAATAAGAACGGTGATAAAATTTATCGCAGTAAAATGATCATTATAATAATTTGAGAAACAATAGTAAAAGGACTGTAATGATTACATTTTTAATACTGCATTTGTAATGTAATTCAGCTATTTTACTTAATTAGCGAGAATAATTTTAAATGAATAATGTATGATAGCTGAAAGTAATATTATATTGATCCAATCATGGATTACAGTAATCATCTGACATTTTAAGGTCAGAAGGTTGCAATTCAGCAATCAAATATTCTTGTCAGACTTAACTCTTGTCAAGCTTTCATACTTGTGCATCCTTTTGTTTTGCTTTCCTTCTTGTTTGTTTAAATATAGACTGAATTTATCATTTATGGAGCAGTGCTGTAATTCATATAATTTATTTTATTATATTAATATAGTTTAATTAGCAAGAATGAAAAAAAAACTGTCAAATACATGATTAATTCACCAGAATGTAATTTAATAATAAAGATTTGAATAATTTATAAAACACTTGTTTTTTTCTTACAAATTTACATTTCGATGAGCATGCAAAAAGTTCATTTGCATTTCGTTTTTGCGTACCAAAATTAAGCAATCTCTTTTGATTATTTGAGTTATACTTTTCATTTTAATTTTAGTAACATTAAATACTTAATAATAATCTTTTTATCTCAATAATTTATTCAATAAATTTATCTTCGTTGAAAAAATTAATATAAGCCAAAATTGATACTACTGTTAGCAATAATGATGACAATGAATAATGATATATTAATCATTATTAAATGGATAATGTTGATGTATTAATAATTAATAATATAGTGACATTAGTATATAGATGACATGTTCTCTTTTTGTTCATCAGATGTAATTTTGAGTTTTTACTAGTTTTTATGATACATATAAAATGAAACATATTATCATTTTGTGACTAAATGTAACGCAAAAAAAATAAATTATAGTTTCTTAATGCAGACTCTAACATACATTTGTCATCTTCATACACATATGTGTCACTATCAATTTTGCATTTAAAAATTTGTAATCAAAGATGAAATCAAAAATTCTATTAAGGGCAGTAGTAAAAATGTAATGCACTCATGATATTTAGTTTTTTTTACCTTTCTCACATCTATTTTTAATATCCTCATCATATTCTCTCCAAGTATATCCAATTTTTATTGCTCGTGTTACGATTACATGGAAAATAGTTATTAAAATGATAATAATTATATCATTTTTATCCATATTTTGTCATAAGCATAAGCTGTATATATATATAT